ATGTTGAGCTTCCTTTAGCTCTTCTGCTCTACCATTTCGACTGGAAACTCCCAAATGGTCTCAAACCCAATGATTTAGACATGACAGAGACTATGGGAGTAACTGCGCCAAGAAAAGACAATCTTCGCTTGCTTGCCAGTGTGTATGATGCATCACTTGACGTTAGCGCAGAAACATAGGGCATGAGTACTTTCGGTGAATATGTGAGAAGTGGCTTCCAAGTCATTTGCTATATTCACTCTGCTTTATGTTAATTTCCTTTAAGATATAATAATGATATTTGCTTAATAACACCTTGCACTAGTGTTTTAATACCATAAAAAAAGAAGCGTTTGTTATGCTTTTACAGAATTTCTAATGTAGAATAGCAGTAGCATGACAGACGCTTGTGAGTCAAACTCACAGATGCTATTCTTCCGATTTTTTCATATTTCCAAATAAGCGCCTAAATTAACTTAATTAAAGAACCAGCCCAATGCATCCCCAAACTCTAACCGCCGTATAGCTGCACGTCTTTCAATTAAAAAATCTGATGTTTCACTTGACGCTTTAATATGATGGATCTAATTTCGGTTTTACAAATTCGATTGGATAGCTTTGGAAATGTTGTTTCTAGCATGAATTGTTTTTTTTTTTATTTTTAAAACACTTCAAAAAGTCTTGGATTTCATCGTAATTACTTTTGGTGAAATATTTTGGAAAAATCGTTTAAAATGTCCCTCACATTTTACAAGGTCATTTTTTTCGTCCATTACTTTTAAAAGTATAATTTTACGTCCCTTACAAATTCAAATTAACCAAATTTGGTCCCTACCTAGGTTTCTGATTCATTTTTGGCTGGAATCTACCACGTGACTTGCATGTGATCATTTTTTAAGGGCAAAATTGTCAAATTAAATTTTTACATAATCTGATTCATAGTCCCTCACATTTCACAAAATGAATTTTTTCGTCCCTAACATTTTACAAAATGAATTGTTTCGCTCCTCACATTTCAAAAAATGAATTTTTCCATCCCTCACATTTTTCAAAATGAATTTTTTTATCCCTCATTGATCATGTGTATGAATAGTTTTTTTTTTCTATAAACCCACGTATATGTCTATTTGATTTTACCTGAACAATACGAATAACATGTAATTTACCTCTATTGAATTTCATCTAAACATGTTAATCGTAGTTATACACATGCTATTCAATAGATATATATAGGGGTTTAAAACTAATAATTTTGTTTGAAACCCATGTATATATTTATATGATTTCACCATTTGAACATATTCAATATTTGTGGCATTTCTCTTTTGATAATAATTTATTTATTGAATCATATAATAAGGTCATCTAATTAATGGGTCCTAACTCGAATTCTATAATTATGCTAACAAATTTTAGTTTAACTATGAAATTTCTACTCGACACTTTTAAGATCAACAGTTGAATTATTTGCCTTGTGATTGTCTTAAAATTTGAAAATGCCAATCACTTATTTTTTTTTGTCATACTTTTTTTTTGTTTATTTTTTCTGTCCAAATTTAATTCGATCTAAACGCTTGATAATATTTAGGATTAAATGTCTTCTTTATTTTCAAATTTCGAGTAAAAGAAAATGAATATAAGTGAAAAACTAACAATTTTTTTAAACCCATGTATATATCTATTTGATTTCACTTGAGCAGTACAAATAGTATGTAATATATCTCTATTTGATTTCACATGTTATTCGTACTGTTCAATTGAAATCAAATAGATACATACATGGATTTTAAAAAAAAAATTGTTCACACACATGATCAAAAAAAGATGAAAAAATTCATTTTGAAAAATGTGAAGGATGAAAAAATTCATTTTGTGAAATGTAAAGGATTATGAATCGAATTATATAAAATTTGATTTGATAATTTTGCCCTTAAAATATGATCACGTGCAAGGCACGTGGTGAATTCCGACCAAAAACTAGTCAGAAGCCTAAGTAGAGACCAAATTTGATCAATGTGAATTTGTAAGGGATATAAAATTATATTTTTAAAAGTGAAGAATAAAAAAAATTATTTTATAAAATGTGAGGGACGTTTTGAACGATTTTTCCAAATATTTTGTATATAAAGTGGTGGAAGTGAGGAGAGTCCGCAAGGTGGGTAGAGGGAGCGTTGGGAATACGGAAATTTAGAAGGGAAATTATATTAATGCTTTTCTATTTTCATGTCACCAGACAAACACGTGGCTTGTCTCAGACAAATGCCCAACAGTTGAGAAGCGTCCGTAACTTGATTTTAAGTTATGTACGCACATAATGCTACTTTCCTTCTAATGTGTTACAACCATTATAATTTATTAGGAGGTGATCACGGCGCAAACACGCGGTGCAAATTTGTAAAATGTAAATGTGGAATTTTGACCAGTACATAATTTTTTTTTGTTTGGAGAAAAAAAAAGGGAGAGGACGAAAGAAAGAGAAGTATGAGAATACAAAAAAAAAAAGGGTGAAAGCAAGCATTTGTTCTTGAAAAATTCATGAATAATTACGTCTTGATATAAATAATGAAATTTAGCAGTTGAAAAATTTATTAGCTTTTTGAGTTTTTGTTGGATTTGGATTTTATCCCACAAACTGTTTATTTATTGGGTTTAGATTTTATCCCACCAATCGTTTATGAGATAAAACCCAAATCCAACAATTTCATTTACCATAGTAGTAGCGGATAAGGAACCACTCGAATTACTTATTGAAATTGTAATATAAAATTTGGAAGAAATAAGGAAGGATATTTTTTATGAGAAGATATGAAGCATTTATGGTACATATTGTTTCTCAACCTAACTATCATCACTACCTGTGTCAGAGCATTTGTGGACTTTTTTTGGCTGAATATTGGGCAACCTTGATCTCTTTAATTTCCTTTGATATCTCGGGAATTTGGCTAATTCGAAGAGTAGCACTGCCTCTTTTTGATCTTTTACGTGACAGACAAAATGGCAGTTTTAGCGTTAAATAATTAGCGTTAAATATTTTGATTAATTCGTTATTAGCGGGGTGTTCGTATAACTCCTTCACCTTCTCACGCTTCCATTCTGCGTCATTTTATTTATATGCATTTTTGTAAGCACAGTTTGCTGTCGTGCTGCGCTCGTGGTCCCGATTTCGTACGCAATTGTTTCACATCGATCACGATAATATCGGTCTTGAATTGGGTGATACACACATTTTAACAAATAATATTTAAAAATTCTAAAAAATTATTAAAAATAGAAAATACCATAACAAATACAGTAATGAAATTAAAATTGCTAAATGTATATGTTAATATAGCCAATCACTAATTCACTAATTCAATTAAAGAAGTTGACGTTGTTCTAACCATTAATATCAAAGGACCACCAATATGGATTGATCTTAATGTTAAATACACTTCATATTTCTAAATACATGATACATGAAATCCAAATATGAGATCGAAATCATAATCTCCAATATGATACAGTACAATTATAGCCACAGGAATCAAATATATTTGTAATAAAAAGGCACTACCTATCATAAAATAATAACTATCCTATGACTAGAGAACTAATTTAATATAGAAAAAAAAGAAGAGTAAATCACAAAAACAAACATATTAGTTTCAAAAAGCCAAAAAAAAGGACCTCTAACTCTGAGCCGAATGAATGAGCCTGAGATCTGTCCTAGAAGATGGAGCCACCAACTCTCTTGGGCCTAAATTTGATGTTTTGACTGATTGGGTTAGTAGACTAATTTATTCATTTATCACCTTTTTTTAAGGCAAAAATATCAGCCCTCGTCATTCTTTTTTGTCCAGATCGATGCGTTTCCTGGCTCTCGTAGTCCTTCCCCTTTCCTCTGTAATTAAATCAAGAAAAACCGCCTCAAATCTCAATTGACCTCCCACAGATTATATCCTTCAATTTTTTTATACCAAAAATCTAGAATGATAGAAGAAGAGAGATGATTATGGTGAAAACACCCATCTTTTTCTCTGATTTTAGTGAATTTATAGTCATCGAATATGCTTCTTTGTTGGTTTATATCAATTACTTGATGATTGTTTGGTTCCTATTGCTCGTTGAGTTTAGTGGAAGAAAACAAGGGTTTTATTTGGATTGCAATTTTTTAGAGTTTTTTTTGTAGAAAAATGTACGGTAGAAATTTGAAATATGTGAAACAAAAAAATTAGTGAAAAATATATCCACGAAAAAATGTAATCATTTTTTGTTGAAAAATTGCTTTCCAAAGCCCCAAGTCTCATTTATTTTATATTTTTCAAAGTTAACTCGGTCGATTGCATCCTAGTTCTCAACGTGACCGCGCGTTACAAACAGGATTAAGGAAGGTTACTGAAGACTTATTCTAGACCATTTGCCATGACATCCTCATGATATTTTAAATTTTTAGAATTACTTCATATATGTGAAATATCTATTTGTGCCATTTCAACTTTTTAAAATTACGATTTAACTCTAAATTGTTTAAAAGCTTTTAAATTTCTTGCTAACTTTAATGTTTCTCATGATTAAATTAGTTTTAAAATTAATTATCTAAATAGTAAGTTAAATTTTATAACTTTTCAATATTTATTCATAAATATTGTATATTTTATATATTATTAAGATTTTATTCTAGTTTGTTCCTTTTTTTATTTTATTCTTTATTCATTATTCACACTTGGTACAATATAATGATTTCTTTGTTCTTGGATAAGCTGTGATTATAAAAATAAACTTATTTAATCTATTTATCATCGCCATAATTTTTTAAGTTACTTTCATCGAACTAATTTAGTTCTAACACATTGATCAACCAATTATGCACTCATATAGTATTATTCATTTTAGCGGTCTATATCACAATCAAAATAATATATTAATTATTTGTGACATATTTATGACATCACAATACAATAACGGTTAGTCAAATGGTTGAACCAATGACAGTTAATGTCACAGTAAAATTTCTGTTTCAATGACCGATTTGGATTTCAAAACCTTGGTTACAGGTAATTTGATATTTTGGACGTCGATATATCATCTCACCGGCATGCACTGAGTCGGTTGCGCATCGTCTGAGTCAACTCGGACTCAGAACGATATGGTGAACTATTGTGTGGGTAAAAATAGTCATATAGTCAACGCCAACCAATTTGTAGAAGTAGGAGGTACAGTGACCTGCAGAGAGAGCACACAAGAAGAAAGCCACACAGACACAATGGATCTACCCTTCAACTTCGTTGCTTTCTTTCTGTTCCTATCCTTTCTTTTAGCTTTGATCAAGGGGTTGAAGAGATCAAAAACAGCCCAAAAACTGCCACCATCTCCATGGAAACTACCAATTATAGGACATATGCATCATTTGATGGGTTCCCCCCCACATCATGCTCTCAGAAAATTAGCTCAAAAGTATGGACCTCTAATGAACATTCAGCTAGGTCAAATGACTGCGATTGTAGTAACATCGCCCCGTTTGGCGAAGGAGATCATGAAAACTCATGATCTTGCCTTTGCAGACCGTGCAGAATTCCTATCTGGAAAGATCATGTGCTATGATTGTTCAGACATCGCTTGCTGTCGATATGGTGACTACTGGAGACAAATGCGTAAAATATGCACCTTGGAACTCCTCAGTGCTAAAAGCGTCCGATCATTTGCTTCTGTTCGCCAAGATGAGGCTTTGCATCTCATAGCATCGATTAAGGTTCTAGCTGGTGCTCGAGAACCAATCGATTTAACAGAAAAAGTGTCCTCATACACCAGTTCCGTGGTTTGCAGAGCAGCATTTGGGAAGGTAAGCAAAGATGATCATGCTGCATTCTTACAGCTAATGAAGGAAGCACTTCCTATAGCAAGTGCCTTTGATATTTCTGATCTGTTACCATCATTCAAGATTCTTCATCCCCTCCTATCAGTAGAATCTAAACTACTGAAGATGCACGATAAGGAAGACGAAATTTTGGAAAAAATAATTGATCAGCACATAGACAACCAAGCAAGAAGAAATATATCCACGGGCGAGTATGGCCAGGAAGATTTGATTGATGTCCTGCTAAGAGTTAAAGAAAGTGGTGAACTTCAATTTCCAATTACCAAGAATAATATCAAAGCTGTTATTCATGTAAGTGCTCAACCAATTTTTGTCTTATTACGATTACATCTTTTAGTTTCAACTCTCAAACAAAGATTTTATGCATTATATGTGATGCAGGACGTATTTGGAGCAGGAACTGAGACGTCGTCCTCAATAGTGGATTGGGCGATGTCCGAGATGATTAGAAATCCAGGTGTGATGGCTAAGGCACAGAGTGAAATAAGGAATGCTTTTAGAGGAAAAAACAGGATTGAAGAAACTGATATTCAACAACTGCAATACCTAAGGTCAGTGATCAAAGAAACTTTGAGGCTACACCCTCCAATCCCTTTGTTGATTCCAAGAGAGTGTAGGGAGGAATGTGAAATTGATGGATATATTATCCCCGTCAAAACGAAAATCTTGGTTAATGCCTGGGCAATTGGAAGAGACCCTGAGTATTGGGATGATCCAGAATGTTTCAAGCCAGAGAGATTTGAAGAAAGTCCCATTGACTTCGCTGGAAGTCGTTTCGAATATCTACCATTTGGTGCAGGTAGGAGAATTTGCCCAGGAATTTCATTCGGTTTGGCAAATGTTGACGTTGCTTTAGCTCTCTTGCTCTATCATTTTGATTGGAAACTCCCGAATGGCCTCGACTCTAAGGATTTAGACATGAAAGAGACTGTTGGAATAACTGCTTCAAGAACAAACAATCTTCGCTTGCTGGCCACTTCCTATGATACATCATTTCAATGGTTCGAAGACTCGGCCGAGACCGGCCGAGTCGTCTCCGTCTCGGCCTAGTCTGAGACGAGACCGCAATGAAACGTTTACGAGATACGTGACAGATCGAAACGTCACCGTGAAGGGTTGAAACGACCGAATCACACCGAATTATTCTGAATCATCCCGAGTCAACTTGAATTTTTATTATTTTTACTACTTTTTAATTATTTTTATTTATCATATTTTTTACAATTTTTAGAATATTAAATATTTCACAAATTCGCGTCTCGCCGAGATCGCGACCGATATGCCGAGACCGATATGGAAGGGTCCAAGCCGCGACCGCGACTTTGAACCATGTCTGTGATCCCTGATTTGAAAAATCGAGCTCTGTAAGCATAGTTTCCCTCTCCTTTCAAAGCCTATGATTTATTGAATGGAAACTTACACGGCCAATGTATACCTTATAATTTTCCCGGTGATAATGATATGTGCTTTTTTTATTTTTTATTTTTTGTATGGACAAACGCTTTAGAATCAACGGTGCCAAAGTAGATAAAACAGGCAGCAATGGAAGATCCCTTCAACTTCATTGCTTTGTTTCTTTTCCTATCATATCCCTTGGTAGAGCTTTTGTCAACCAAACGAAAAGATGGAGTTGTAACTTATACCAAGGTTAAGGATACGATACATATGCAGTCTGATAATTTCTATAGTACTTTAATTTTTTACAAACCGACCTTGAAATTGGTTAATATTCTCAAAGTGATCTAGAATATTAAATTTCAAAAGAACTCAGTACACAGAAAAGCATAAATTTTAGCTCATGTCACTATGACCATTTCTACATATCAAATGTATAAAATCTTATCGCAAATTTTAATTATTATTCCTTCCTTGCAAATGTTTGGTTCTTGCGATTTTTTAAAAGAGTAAATCTTATATACACTGACAGTACACGTACTTCCATCGTTTTAAATTTATGATATATATGTAAAAGTTAAGTTTAGATTTTAAAATTTATATAATTATCATTAATTTAATGCATTCCTTTTCAAAATATGACAAATCACAAATAAGAAAAGAAACTACGAAATAATGGCGCACAACGATTGATGCGTGTAAGAGTTGCATTTTAAACCAAACGCGATATGGTCCTACACCGTATCGGCAAAATAAATATAACTCGTAATTGCCTTTTTGGACTAAAAGATGCCTTTTTGTGCCCTTCATGACAATCATGTGGCAAACAGACCCCACTGTTTTTCCAATAATTGGCTGTTTTTCCAATAATTGGTGGCTTTATTGGACCTAGTTGCACGGCAAATTCTGCCATGAGCCCCACAAATGGGCCCACATATGGTCGTTGAGCATAGTGACCATTTATGAGCTTCCGGTCGACATGGTCCGGTAGAAGCGCTGAAGCAAAGATTAAAATATGTTTTGTATAGCTATCACGCACCTTAGAGGATCTCACCAAGATCTAGGTTAGGAAGACTTTTCTGCCCCTAAAATATATAAAAATATCTGGACAGAGATGTCAATTTGGGCGGCCTGCTGCCAATTCAAGGGCTGGAACATGGATCTTAGGAATTGGTCAGCAAGCTGAGGCTTGTTTGGGCAGTAATTTTTTAAAAAATAATTATTATATTTTTTATGAATATATTTTTAAATAAATTTTTTTATTTTATATATATTAAATTGTTACAGTATTTTTTTTTTATAAAAAATCTAAAAAATACAATTCAAACAAAGTCGAAGATTGTTTGTTCTTGATTGCAGTGATTCAAACAGTCTCTTCATGTCTAAATCGCTGGAGTCGAGGCCATTTGGGCGTTTCCGGTCAACATGATAAAGCAAAAGAGCCAGACGAAGCTCAATATTGGCCAAACCAAAAGAATTCCCTGCACAAATTCTCCTCTCTCAACCAAAATGGTTCGGGAGGACTTGCAGTGCATTTCTATTGTCACAATTTTGCGTATGTAGTTTTTCTTATCAACATTGATGATAAAAGGGAAGAACAGTTTAGGTAGATAAAAACTACAAGCATTGCTACACTATAATCAACTAAGCAGTGCAAAACAAAAACTACATGATATTGAATGACAAATGGAAATATTATTAGAAAAGTCATAGTTAGGCGGGTTTTTCACTTATTGCAAATCATTTCTTTACTAGTTATTCGTACTACTCCAATAAATAGTTTAGTTAGTACTAGCGGTCTCTCTCAGGAATAGGCGATTTTAAAAATCACTATAAGCAACTTAAAATATGTTGGTTGCTTACTGTAAAGTGTAAACTAGGAATGGGGTCTCCTAAATTGATTCCCTACCCATATATATATATATATATATATAAAGAGAGATTAACCGATATTCATCCTAAGCATGGTTTAAACCAGCTCAACCTTGATGGTTGAACCGGTTAGAGCTCGATCAATCTACTATCCAGTTTGATCCCGTTTGTTTGGATTGCAGTTTATTTACCAAAATATATTTGCTTACATCATCATCACAATTTTCAACACACCTTTTTATCTTCCCAATTACCTTTTTTATCTCACATACATCACATCACAAAAAGTGCTACAGTAAAAATATCTCTAATAATTCACAATCCAAACAAATAGAATTTGCCTTGACTCAGTTGAACCGGCTAGTTTGCTGCCACTAGTTGAATTAAGACCAAAGTTTTCAAATTTGGTCAAACTTCCAGATTAAATGATAATCTGCATATAAATACAAACCAATTTCCAATACAATCTTATTTTCAACAAACTTATGGTAAATAACCTCATGCATTTGTGTCTTTTTATATACATTTTTTTTTCATTTTTCTCTACCTTCCCCAAATTACACATAAGTATATTTCTCTTTTCAACTTTTGATCAAAGTCTAAGCACATATACTTTATGTCCTTTTTAAAAGGTTAATTTATTGTACTTCCTTTTTTTTTTCTTATAGCCTTTTCACAATTTAGATATTCCCTAAATATAATTAATAATCATTACCTAGTTGTGACATCATGGATTAATCATTTTGGCCCAACAATCGAACAAATAATTCTTGACCCAATAAATTTCTGGTCAATAAATGGGTTGGATTTCAAAACCTTGGTTTTAAGATTTACTTTTGCACAATTCATGTATATGCAGCAGTCTGTCACATTAGGGGTGGGCACGGGTCGGGTACCCGCCCCGAACGCTAATTGGCTGACCCGACCCTAACATATCGGGTCACTATTTTTTTGACCCTAATCCGCTCCGAACTTCCTCGGGTACCCGATCCTCGGATACCCGAAAAATAGGGGCGGGTCATAGGGTACCCGCCCCTATTTAAAGAATGCAATTTTTCTCTAAAACTCATAAGACATAAGATGAACCTGCTGGACGATAGCATCATTCAACAAAAAAAAAAGGCAACAACATCATTCAAATTCAAACTAGACAAAGACAAAGCATATTCAAATCTAAAAAATGATCAGTAGCAGTAGTTCCACACTAAATCATAAAGTTAGAAATATCTACTCTGATACATAACTTCCAAAAAGGGCATATAAATGAGAAAAATGTACACTATATAGACATTCTCAAATCCAGCAAACATGGCATAATGCAACAATTTTTGGATCCATTGATGATGAATGATCAACATTTGGGCTTGCAGCTGTAGTAGCTGTATTATCCCCTGTACTTGACATCTGAAAAATTCAAAAAACAAATCAAATGAAAATCCCACTTCTCTACCATATGCGCAGCTAATACATAGCTCAGAAACTCCTATAAAACCATGTGCAGATTCATTTTAGAAAGAAAAGGGCAGTTGGAATAATCTTAAGAACAATAACAAAAAATTGCTCACAATCCTCAGTTGCTTGGCCTGCTAATTTAAATATTGAGTGCAAAGTGTAGCTAAACCCAAAGGGGGAAAAATGTCCAATGTATGAAAAGAAAAGGCAAACCAATACTCTCAAAAAAAAAAAAGAGTTTTACACTATTACAACTTCAGCAGGTATAGAGGTATTATCTTAGAATTTGCACATTGAATTGAATTATGTTAGACAAAAAAGCTAAAGTAATTATGCAGCTACATTGCACTGGAGGAAAATAATGAACGATGTAGAGTTTCCAGTGTTTGTTCATGTCTTAGTATCTATATGCAAGAATCAATAATATTCTTGAGAATTAGAATCAGTAAATTTTATGGTACATCATATCTCTTTAAACCTTAGTTGGATAACTGTGTAATTTACAACTTAAAGTTTTTGGTTTAATCTGAATTTTTGGTTTGAACTCGTCTTGTAGACATTAGAGCTGATTACGGTACATGGACACACTTGTGAAGCATTTAATTGAATATTTTTTCTTAATTAGAAACTCAGGACAAAGTGCAGTATGTTCTTATTTTTCAGAACCTTAGGCACAATTTCTCCCACCGTTCTTGAATTTCAGAACATAACCTAAGCCTTACGCATATGCGTGCAACAGTCCACCAAAAGTACAGAAAAAGCCATGTAAAGTAAAACTCTCTGCAAATGAACAACTAGCCTATGAGAGTTGGTCTAAGACCTCAAATGTCAAAGCCATGAGAGTATCTCCATGGAAAATTATGGCCAGAATTTGTTTCCGTACCTGTACCATTTATGCCGATTGCCGACCCCCTTTTTGGTTTTTTTTTTCTTTTTTCTGTATGGGTCCAGCAATTCCTAATCTTAATTGTACAACCCAGTTTCGATTTGGACGAAAGATCAGAATTCATGTAGCCAATTCGACAAATGCATAGACGTACACAATACACATAGATGCAGAATAGTTTTGCAGAAAGAATTGAACTTAAAAGAAAATAGTTATTGAAAAACCTTGATAGCTAAACCACCCGGCTCCGGCGTCGGCGGCGTCAGGCGACCTTTTGGCAGCGTCCCTTTACTCGAAGTCGAAGGTAGAAAAGGACGACAACGGAGAAACAGGGCTGAAGAGAAAAGGATTCGATTCAGTCAGGCAGTTTGAGGAGTTTTAACGGTAGTTTTCGGCCCTAGGTTTGAGAGACAAGAGCATCGGCCACTGAAGAGTGAAGAGTGAAGGTGAAGAGTGAAGAGTGTCGACGGCTGAAGCAGAGGATGAAATCTGAAGGTTAGGAACCTAGGGTTAATAACTTAAAAAATTATAAAATTGCCCCTATATTTTTTAATATTTATATATTATACCCCCGGGTCGGGTACCCGCGGGTTTTTGCTTTTACGATCCGTACCCGTATCCGAATGTTCCGGATACCCGACCCTATCTGATCCGCTAAGAGAAATCGGATCGGATATCCTATTTTTCGGTGCGGATCGGGTCGGATCTCTCGGGTTTTCGGGTCAGCGGGTATTTTTGCCCACCCCTATGTCACATGTTAATTTAATATTGTAGTCCATAATGGTGAATTCTGTCCAAAGAAGTACCATGCTGACTTGGCAAGAATTGCTTAGCCCGTCGATAGAAGGAAAGTTTGCTTGGGCCAGATCA